GAGAGAGAGAGAGAGAGAGAGAGAGAGAGAGAGAGACTTACCTGTAAGGCTTCTTGTCCTCATAGACGTCGATCTTGGGGTAGCCATGGTAACAGTCCTTGCAGATGTAAGCCTTGTAGTTATTCTTGACCTGCACGTGACCTGTGAGAAGGCAAATCACTTTGCTTTAACAGTTCTGGTTTGGGGGTCATGGAATGTCATAGCCACTCTATAGGAAGGTCCGAATTTGGACTCTAAAGAACACCTGCTGACTTAAAGTAGAAGTGTGTACCCCAACGGTTATGGTTTTAGGGTGGGTTTTTTTTTTTTTTTTTTTTTTTTTTTTTTTGGGGGGGGGGGGGGGGGGTCATGAGACGGCAGAATTGAAAACCAACCTTTGTAGGGGATCTTGTGGTAGCTGGTGTATGGGACCACCTTTACGGACGGGATCAGCTTGTAGTGTTGGAGCGCCACCTGCGTTGCATTAAGAGCAAAGAGAAAAAAACAACTAATTAAATTCAGCATCTTTGGACAACTGTTCAAAGACTTTCCGGCTCTGTATATATATATAAGAACGTGTGGATAATGGCCAAACAATCGAACTCGTCTCTTTTTGCACGCGAGCCAAAAATCATAACTTTTCATATATATCTATATCCCTGTACACTTTCAACTTCCACATCAAAGAGACGAGCTCAATACCTATGTAGGAAAGGCATTTCATTAACTAACTTTCCCACTTTTCAGGGTTCTAGTTATAGTATCTCCCATCGCTTGGGTTGACCCTGCCAGGTAGGGTCGAAGCAGCCAGCCTACAAGTTGATCCAAACTGTGTCAATGAGAACGTCAGTCATTACCTTGTTAAAAGATGAACCAGGTCTCTGTTCAGTTCTGTGTTAAGCATTTGAAAGGTATAAGTGACGGTTTTTTTTAAACGATCTCGCTGTATACTGCCCTCATAAGTTTCATATATATGTGAGGCAGCATGGTGGAATCAGGCTCTCGTCAATTTTTGGGCATGTAGATTTATTGGTTCCATCTTAAAGCTTGTTCACTTGTCTTTATTCGGATTAAAAAAATGTCCATTTTCTTGAATACAAGTCGAGATATTTGCGAAAGAAGGTGGGGGTCACCTGTTTTCAGAGGTAAAATTAGTGAGAAAATGGCCACCAAAGATTAGTTATTTCCTTAGCTTAAGAGTCCGTGGTAACTGAAAATTTACATTTTTTGTGCCTTTAATCAACGATTTTCTGAAAAATCCACACAGAAATGAGTTCTTCAATGGGCATGAAGGGTGTTGAACCAAAAAACAAAAATTTGATAAAAATTCACAAACCTGCTTTAAAAAAATGCAAGTTTCTTCACATTGATTATTTTGACGAGAGCCTGCTTCCACCACGCTGCCTCACATATGTGCTGTAAAGATAAGGATCCCCATCGCACAAAAGAGTTGGATTCTTAGATGGTTGGATACTATATCCTGTTCCTGTTTATCTAATGGGGGTGGTCTGGTATTGTTTGTTTGTTTTTGTTTGTTTGTTTGTTGTCGTTTTTTGCTTCGAGTCCCACCTTGTAGTTGCCGTGCCTGTAGTAGTTGCGCACCACGTGACCTTTGTCCACGTAGGTCTTGCCAGGCTTGAAGGACTTGACGAAAGAGATGAGTGGCGTCTTGGCGTTGTTGTACCCGTAGCCTACGTCATGGGGTACCTTGGCCCCGTAGTGGGGCTGGAGGTCATGGCCGTAACCTCCCTGACCATAACCTCCCTGACCATAACCAGAACCTCCTTTGCCGTAGCTTTGTCCGTGACCTCCTTGTTGACCTTGAGGCAGGAAAGGGGTGTAGTGGGGGAAAGCGAGAGAGGGGTGAGGAACAACAGAAATGAAAGAATTGGTGTCTTGTGTAGACTCTCCCTCTGTGTCAGTCTCTTCGTCAACCCCCCCCCCCCCCAATCCTCTCATCCGTCTCTCTCTCTCTCTCTCTCTCTCTCTCTCTCTCTCTCTCTCTCTCTCTCTCTCTCTCTCTCTCTCCCCGTTTCGTTCTCTATTTGTCTCTTTGTGTCTTTGTCTCTCCCCGTATCTCTGTCTTCCCATGTCTATCTATCTATCTATCTATCTATCTATCTATCTATCTATCTATCTATCTATCTATCTATCTATTTATCTATCTATCTATCTATCTATCTATCTATCTATCTATCTATCTATCTATCTATCTATCTATCTATCTATCTATCTATCTATCCAACAACAAGTGGGTGGTTGACGGGTGCTCTGGTGTGTTTTGCTTCTTCTTTTCTATCAAACATCTATCGTCCTGATCTCCCCTTCTTCTTTTTTATGTTTATTACTCTCTAGTAACACCTCTAATCTTCTGGCACTCATATGACCTCATGCAGTTGAGAGCGCCGTAAAACCTGTACTAAAACTGAAAAAAACAAAACAACACGAGTGTAATCAGCAGTCACAGTGATTGCCTTTTTGTGTGCATGTTCTTTTGTCAGAACTTGCTATCGTACGGGAGCATGTATACATATGTGAGGCAGCGTGGTGGAATCAGGCTCTCGTTAATTTTTGGGGATGTAGAGTTATTGGTATCATCTTAAAGCTTGTTCACTTGTCTTTATTTGAATGAAAAAAAATCCATTTATCTTGAATACAAGTCGAGATATTTGCGAATGAAGGAGGTGGGGGTCACCTGTTTTCAGAGGTAAAAATAAATGAGAAAATGGCCGCCAAAGATTAGTTATTTCCTTAGCTTAAGAGTCCATGGTAACTGAATTTTTTATTATTTTTTGTGCCTTTAATCAACGTTTTTCAGAAAAATCCACGCAGAAATGAGTTCTTTAATGGGCATGAACGGTGTTGAGCCGAAAATAAAATTTTAAATAAAAATTCGCAAACCTGCGGAAAATACAAGTAATTTCACTTTGATTATTTTGACGAGAGCCTGATTCCACCACGCTGCCTCACATATATGTATTAAATGTACAATGAATGGGCCGGCATACACGAAATATGTCATTGTGTAAGATGTAGAAGTTACTTTATTGTGAAGCGCCCAGAGCCACCAGAGAGCGTGCACGATTGAATTCATCTTTCTTTCTTTCTTTCTGACTTCGTCGATACCGACCAAGTATTACTTCAGGGTCATTCAGTCTTCACTCATTGCGCCATGCTCTTTCTTCCTATACCTCTTTCGCCCTCTTCTTTCTCTTCCCTGTGCTCCCCTCCCTTCCTCAGGATACACCTACAGGTATTAGGAGTCATAATAAGTAACCTAGCCCATTTCCGTTTTCTATAATAAATATATATTTTTTTAATATTCCCTTTTTCCATCTCCTGTCTTCCTCCTTCCTCCATCTCCCATTTCCTTGATTCTCATTGAGAGAAATGATGAAAATGCTGTATGGTCGCTCGCTCCCCTGAATCTTTGCCTTTGATTACCCCCCGCAGTTCCATCTCATCTCTTCAAAACTGTATCTCTTTAAACCAGACCCCTGGTAAAGCGCTGCAAGATCCTCCTCACAGTTTAAAACTTCCACTCAGCCGTCTAATAGAGTGTAAAGCGTATAAAGCTTGCTGGCGAGCGGGGATGTATATCATGCGCTATACAAATTCTATTTATCAGTAGTAGTAGTAGTAGTAGTAGTAGTAGTAGTAGTAGTAGTAGTAGTAGTAGTAGTAGCAGTAGTAGTAGTAGTAGTAGTAGTAGTAGTAGTAGTAGTAGTAGTAGTAGTAGTAGTAGTAGTAGTATCTTTTT